TCTCTCTTTTTTTTGGGGGGGGGGGCACCGGGATCGAACTCGGGACCTTGCACTTGTGAGGCAGGCAGGGGAACCACTGAGCCAAATCCCCGGCCTGCCACTCTATTTCTCTTAACAAAACCAACTAGTCTCTCTAAACCACTCTAAAATTTTAGCTCTCCTGGAAAGCTCTCAGTTTCACACAGCCTCTACAAACATTCCACTCTTCTCTGGTATCCAATACCCAAAGTAACCAAGGAGCAGTTTACAATTTCAATATGTGCCAGCAGTTGAAAAATGATCAATTCAAGATAAGAGGAAAAATCTGGGCATTTAATAAACAGAAAAGATTGTATCTGATCACTGAAATCTTATGAAACATTTACTAGCAATCTTTTTCATACAACTTTTAGCAAACTGAAAACATTAAACCTTTGACCCGTAAGCAAGAGTTCCATGACATTTCATTACTGTTACTAATAATGATTACCTACCCAGTATCTCCCAATCCATGAAGGAAAATAACCTAAAAAAGAGGAAAAAATAATAAGCAACACCTAAATAAATAAGTCCACCTGGATCGTTAGGCACTGTAGCTTTGGTTAAGGTGGAAAAGGGAATGAAGGTTCTTAAACCTATGACAGAATTCCAAACACGATTCAGCAGGTTAATCTCTATATTCTCTTCCCTTTAGTTCCTAAGATAATTAATGTGGGATTTTAGCACTTAGAGGTCCCAGCTAGACATTCTCAAGTGCAAATTATCACGTTCTAAGAAAAATAATGTCTCTTTCGAGTCAAACCGTGAGTGTCACACTGCAGAATTTTCCCATCACAAAAAAGGAGTTTCCGGGCGCAAACATTAAGTTTGAAATTCTCACAGACAAGTTTCCTTAAAAAAAACCCAAAAAACCCGAGCATATCTGATCTCTTAAGACACTAAATCTTAAACTTCTTTCATTGAGGGCAAGAGATAAGGTAGGACACCAGAGCGATTTCCTTGCGGTCTTGGGCTTGCTCCTCCACAAACCGAGCAGAACCGCGCCGCGAAACCCCGGACCCGCGTCCCTCCCGTGGGGGTCCGGCCGCGCTCGCTTCGCAAAGCCGAGGCCCGGGGCGGGGACCCAGCTCCGCCGCCGGCACCCTCGCGGCCCCAGCCCGCCGCGCCGCCCGGCCTCCGCGTGGAGGGGCGCTCCCACCGACCAGGCACCCCGGCCGGGCCTGAGACGGCGACGTTGCGCGAGGGACAGCTGCCAGCGGCGGGCCCAAAGGGCCCCGCGGAGACCTGGCCGCCGCCACTCACCGCGGCGGTGGCTTTCCGGGCGGCGGGCACGATGGCTGGCATCGGAGCAGACATATTATTGCCGCACATCCACCGGTTGGGAGGACAGCGCGTCGGAAGCGGAAGGGAGAGCGCGCGCTCGGCGGCGGCCCAAGGGCGTGCGAGCCGCGAGTCCCGGCCCGCCTCACCGGGCGCGCGCTCGGGCGCGTGCGCGCCAACGCGGCGCCGCCCCGCCCTCCGCTGGCCCCGCCCCGCGCTCCTAGGCCTGCGCCCAGCCGCCCCTTGCCCCGGCCTCCCCCTCCTCGCGTCACAAAGCCCGGGCTCCTCCCCTGGCCCCCGCCCTCGCAGGCTCACTGCGGCGGCCTCCGGCGCTCCTTGTGCGCGCCGGCGCCTTGTAAACTTTGGGTTCAGGGTCCTCAGACCCCGGCCTGCAGCCGCTGGTAAATCCTGCCTTAGGTTTCCACTCTTTGAGCGCCGTAGTGAAGAAGGAGCCCCCAAACCAACTGTCGTCTCCCCCGAACGCTCCTTTGTTTCCCACGGCCAGGGGCTACTCATTGACAAGAGTCAGAAGGGCTGGACTGGGAGAGGCCGGCCGAGCTTTGCTGTGGGTCCAGTGGGGCTTACACCAGTGTGTGGATTTGGGGTTGACTCCCCCGTTTTTTAAACAGGAGTTAGAAAGGAAAACACTCAGTTGGCACCAAGAATCCTCAGCTTCCTTAAACTCATCGGATAGTGATTGCTACGGTACTGATTTAAGCAGACTAGACAGCCCTTTTCCTGCACAGGTGGGTCAAGGGTCTAAAATGGACTTTATTCAGACAAGTTTGTTGTATAATTTATTGCGTATTTGGTATGATTTGGAAGAGGAGGAGATAGAAACACTTAAAGCTAATATGCTGTGACCTTTAGAAGTTTACGATTCAATGAAGAAACTTGAAGCTGTATAACATTGGGAAGATGTTGAATAAAAGATGTAAAGAAATTCACACTCCATTTTATACCTGTGATAAACACAGTGCTGAGGGCTTTGAGGTCTTAAACGTACTGTTTTTGTTGTTTTAAACATTCTTGTCTTGGATTTGAATGGTGAGAATTTTGTGGACTCAAAAAATGTTAAGTTGGGCTGGGGATTTAGCTCAGTGGTTCCGGTGCCTGCCTCGCAAGCCCAAGGACCTGAGTTTGATCCCCGGTACCAAAAAAAAAAAAAGGTAAGTTGATACTGATTTATTCAAAATGACAATAATGGAACTCACATGGCATATGCTAGTATATATTTATGTCAGGCTTTAAGTCATTTCGTTGTCATGTTAATAGAGAAAATTAAATTCTTTAGCTCTTATTATGAACATAAAATGTCCCAAATAATTATTATTTGAATTTTTTTCCCTTCGGTACTGGGGATTGAGACCAGGGGCTCTTTTACCATTCCCTGCTCCTTAAAAAGATTTTTTTTCTTTCTTTTCCCTTCCTTCCTTTCCCTGTCTCCCCTCTCTTGTTCCCCTTTCCATTTGAAGATTTTCTTCCTTTTTCACAATATCTATTATACATTTTGTTCTTTATTTACCCTGTCGGTTTCTCACACCAGAGAAACAGTGCCATATTTAAATATGAGTGTCCAGTTTATTTCACTTAAGAGCATGGTTTCAAGGTACATTCATTTAGCTAGAAATGTGTCAAGTTTATCCTTTATGGCAGAGTAGTACGCCATTGTATTTAAAAAAAAACAAAAAAAAACACACATCTTTATCTGTTCATCAGTTGATGGGCATTTGGACTTTTTCCATGATTCAGCTATTACAAACTGTGCTGCGATAAACATGGGTGTGCATATATCACTGTGGTATGATGCTTTTAATTCTTTTGGGAAGATACCAAGAAGGGGAGTAGCTGGATTACATAGAATCTCTAGTTTCAGTTTTGTTCTGTTTTTTGTTTTTTGGTACTGGGGATCGAACTCCGGACCTTGCGCTTTGGAGGCAGGGGGCTGAACCACTGAGCTAAATCCCTGATTTTCTATGTTGATTTTATATCCTGAAATTTTACTGAATTTATTAGTTTCAACAGTTTTTTGATGGAGATGTTGGGGTTTTCTATATATAAGATTGTGATCTCTGGCGCAGGCAGAGGGTCCCACGCCTATAATCTCAGCACTCTGGGATGCTGAGGGAGGAAGATCACAACCTCAGCATAAGTGACTGAATTACTTAGTGATACTTTTCTCAAAACGTAAAATTTGAAAAGATTTGGGATTGAGCACAGTGGAAAGGGCCTAGGTTCAATCCCCAGTACACAAAAAAGGAAAGAAAAGATTGCAACATCTACAGAGACAGTTTTATTTTACATAAACAAAAGTTGAATGTATTAGACCTATATCAAAAAAGTAGCAAGCTACCATGGTATAGAAAAGACAAATATGGGCTGGGGATTTAGCTCAGTGGTTCTGTCGCCTGCCTCGCAAGCACAAGGACCCGAGTTCGATCCCCGGTACCAAAAACAAAAAACAAACAAACAAAAAAACCGAAAAGACAAATAACTGGATAGTAAGATCCAATATTATAAGATTATCAATTTTTTAGGAATTAAGCTACCAATGCAATGTAAACCCCATTAAATCTCAATAGATTATATTTAATAAAGTTATTTAAATATTCCAATAA